TTATTGATATGTACATACAATAAATTTATTTACAAATAATACAATAAATTTTTGACGCCGTATAGTTTATTCGTTCTTGATGATATATCTTAACAAAATACTACGTTCTTACCAATTATTGTGCCGTGCTGATATTCGAAAACTTCTTTGGTCACGGGAATTTAATGTAAATATAGGTAATATTCGGTTTTACCCTGCGCCGAAATATTCACCGAAAGAATGTTATCGATCATAGGCAATGCGATTTGAAAGTGAAACCGCGCTGTATCATCTCGTATCGGGTATTTCTTTTTTCTCTCTCTCTTTTTTTTTTTTTCTCCCATCCTCCCATCCGTGTATCCTTTCGTTCCTCTTATACAAATATTACGTTAGCTACTATTAAAATTATAAAACATATTGGCCGTGTCTCGGCGTACGACGAACTTCCATCGCCGTGATGCATCGCGGCCGGCCGTTCCTCTGTAACAGAAATTTCGTTTCGATTCGCATGAAATACTTCCGGGAAGATAATTTCCAAACACTTCCGATCGGCCGACGAAAATCGGTGGGTATTATTCGAGGAGACAGCAAACGTATAATGTTCTAAAATAATAAGTGATATAAACGTAAAATATTGGGAAACATCAGCATCGAGAAATTATTCGTTCGTGATATTCGAGGAGACAGAAGATCTAAAATATTCTAAACTAATAAATAATATAAACAGAAAAAATACTAGCTCCGAGAAGTTATTCGTTCGTGATATTCGAGACAGTAGACATAAAATATTCTAAAGTAAAACGTAATATAAACGTAAAATATTGGAAAATATTAGCCTCGAGAAATCATTCGTTCGCGGGGATATTCATTTCAAATGGCATCGGTGACCGATTGAGATGGAATTCCTCTGGGTATTGCGAGATGAGATGATGGATTGGACACAGTGATGTATGAAGATCGAGTCTTCTAAGCTTCAAGACTCAATCTTAGAGGCTGAGTCCTTGTTACGTGAAGCTCAAGCTTCTGGAACTTCAAGTCTTAGCTCCTAGACAAAGCTCTTGAGTGAGTAATACGCCACTGTCATTGACATATGTGACAGTCGACGATGTTGTTTATAATTGTTATTGTATGCAATTCAGACAGCTCGAATTTCTGAATTCGAAGTGTTCAAAATTTTACAGCTTAACGCTTGAACCTTCAAACCTAGAATTTCCCACACTCAGAGATTTTTTATGAAAATTGTTTCGTGTATTAAATATTATTAAAAAAAAACACTGGATCTTGGATATTTTCATTTGAAAATTTCCTATAAAAATCCGCGATGTAGACTTGAAAGTACTTACACATAGCGTGAAATTATAGCGATTACGTGATCGATATTATGGCAAATTAATATTGTCCTTTTCTGAAACAAGCTGATCTGATATTTTTTGGTCTTTGAGGTATATAAAGGTTGAAAACGTAGAATAAAAAAAAGAAAAAAAATCAAACAAAAACGACGTACGTGTCTAGTAGCCAAGAGAAGCCAAGATTTTGTATTTCAGATCTGCTATCTTATTCCATGATATCCACCAAATTTTATCTCGATCTATTTGATTTCATCTCGGCCTGTCGATGCCATTCGATTTAGGATATCCAAGTTCAATCTTCCTCTAAACTCCTCAGTCGAGGATTCTTTTCCTTCTTCTCTTACTGTTTCCTCGATAAAACTCGTCGATTTCTCTTCGTGTCGATAACACAAAAATTTAACATAACAGAATGTCTCATCTGTGCAAAATATCTACTATTTCGAAGACGAAAAAAATGTTAATTCAATCATATTAAGTGGCTAATATCTTGCAGACGTTGTTTTTTATTTCTTCAAAATTTTCAAAGTCATCTTTTTTTTCCAAATAACTACTTACTTCTTTCCTGTTGCATCGCGCATTTTCATAAAAGGAAAATTACACTCAGACGTTTTTTCACTTTTTCAAGGTAACTTTGAATAATTAAAAAAAGAGGCTTGTGCACAACGCGTCGGTTTGACGATTCTTTCCCTTCTTCCTTTCTCGTTTTCTTTTCCCGCCGACAGAACGTCGCCGATTGCGCGTTTTTCGACTGCGTGCTCCGTCGTGTCGCGACAGCAGCGCAACGACTCAGACAATTAAGAGAAAGAACGGCAAACAAACGTTCACGAGCGGATCAGTCAGGACGATGATGGTGATAAATCACCGTCGTACACGACGTGTCGCATCGATCTGCATTCGCGTCAGGTAAGGCTGTGCAGGCCATTGTACCCAGGCAATTAACGTTTGAAGTTGATAAATAACATACCGGAAACTCGGCTTAACTTATTCCGAATTATCGTTAAAACCGCGTGTCCGCTTTCAGTCAATGATAAGACGCACTCTAATAATTTACCAACTGCGAACGCTCTCGAAACAACGCTCCATCAAGATTACCGCAAATTTCGAGTGTGTTTTTCGTTTGAAGATAGTATCGCGGCTGGATATCACACAGCTATCAGTAGTAGTAGTGGTATCGTGTCAGACAGGCCACTGTTTGAATAAGATACTCGAAGTGTCATTATTTAAATAATACGATTACTATTATAATTAAATAATTAAATCAAACATCTAATAAAAGTGAATGTTCAGATAAATATTTGGAGTGAAAAAATAATTAAGGAAAATATATACATTAATTTGTACACGTGTAATGGTATATATTTCATTTGGCTCGATGTTATCTTCAACCAATCTTTTATCAATTTGTTTGTTTATATAAAATTTGTCCTCTGAACTGCTTCATCATTCGAACTGTCAAGTTAGATAATTTTTCATTTCATTTCATTCTAGCATTTCGCGTTCCTCTGTACAAATAATTTGTTAAATCACTTTTGATTGTATTCAGTCAGGCGCTGTGTCAAGAATACAAAATTCCTCACGATATTTCATGCAAGGGACCAGACGCATAATATTTCGGAATAAATATATGGTAGAGAATTTATCGTCGGAGTAACTATCCCGTATTACAACAACTAGTTTATCGCATGCATTACTTAACGTCTCATAAAAAAATTCCTCGGTTAAAACGTCGTGCTGAAGTTAGCCGTTATTTTATTTCGGTCAATTAAATCAAATGGAAGATTATTTGCAAGTTATTTATTTATTTGACTCGGAGGCAAGATAAAGTTATTTGCCGTGTTACTACGTCGATATAAAAATAATTATTTCGAATTTTTTATCTTTGCTTGGAATAAAAATTTGTTCAATCCCGCGCAGGAGAAGTAACTTCACTTTGTTCAAATCTAGATAAGTAATTTGCAAACAACTCTCTGCTTAATAAATAAATAACGAATGACTGCAGCACGAGCTTGGTTTATACAGAAAATGGAAATTTCCGAGGAATTATTCGTGGGAACAAATAAAACATACAAAATTATATTATATGTGATGAAAAAGTTTTATCTACATGCCTATGTCAATATCGTATGTTTATATTTATTTTCCACGCGTATAATGAAATTCTTTTTGTACCATTATGCATAATATACATTTTATACATTATATGATTATAACTATTATTAATATAATCTAATAAATAATCATATACATAATGAAATTTATAACGAAATAAATCAGAGAAAAAAATCGTTTACCTCTTCAAATAAACTGACGTAAGATTATTTCAAGATAACATCGAGCCAGATAAGATAAGATATTGCTTAAATAATCACTGTTCAAATATTCTACCCTAAGAATAAGTTGTCAAGTCAGTTTAAAAATGAACTTCGTAATAAATTAGCGAAAATGATTCATTAATTCTCTCATCCGCGTAAATAATAAACTCGACACCGGATAGACTGCGCTTTAATAGCGCAGCCACGTGACGTTTCACCTTTTCATTCGACGTCATTTCCTCGCCCCATTGAAAGGTGATAAACCGTGTCAACTTCGCGCCTCGAGTCTACGCGACGATACGTCGCGCGAGATGCACGGCTTTCGATGAATTCGAACGCCCTGACTACGGTTCAGATCGATCGCGACAACGTCGATTCTAGGCCAAATCCGCCCGCGTGGCGTTCCCCCATTCCCCAAGAACAACGAGAGAGAAATATTTAACGGCAGATCGATTAATATAACGGAAGGTCGAGACGAGAGGCAATAGCTTTTGGAATATTTCGTCGTTCACGTACCGTTAACAACGTGCACCTTGATGCTGCTGGGATTCGCGTTGCTCGGCTCGCAGGTATAGATCCCGGAGTCGCTCAGCACCGCTTTCTGGATCATTAAACGACTCGTCGTTTCGGGGCCCTTCTCCGTCACCAGGCTAATGCCGCCACGCGGCGAGTCGAAGTTAATTACCTGCACCGAGAGATAAAAACACCCTTACTTCTCGCTCGTTTCCCCAACCCACCCCTCCCATCCCCCTTGTTTCCTCGGCGAGAAAGACAGGATCTTTGAATCTGCCCTCTCGCTAAGAAAACTTGCTGAATTCAGCGACAGCGTGTCGTTCGATCGATCGATCCCCAAAATACAGTGCCATTGTGAAAGTGAGACGAACATGGTACCGATTCATCGTTCTAAAGAACTAATTAAGAATACGAAGGTTAGGATATTAGTGTTTTTGTTTGTTTTTGAAAATTATTCACCACGAGGAAGGATAATTGAACAAAAACGTTTGAGAGAGAGAGAGGATGTGTACTTGAAAATGTCATTTAATAGATCCCGATACCCTGATAGAATTAAAAGATCCAAAGTATTTTTCGTACTTCTTAACTGTGACAGTTCATTTTGTCTTGACACGCCACTGTAAGTGAAGTTTGCTAATTTCTCCCATAGATAATTATCGTGCTAGACTGTTATTATACTCGTGCATTTTTTGGGAGGTCTAAAGATGTGAAAATTTGGAGAATGCACGTAATATAAAAAAGTGTGAAACATTTAGTGTGTAATACGAATTCCTTTAAATCTCACATTTTCAGATAATCTCGCATTTTCAGTTATCGTAAAAGTATCAAAGTCCATAAATACTCGCAGTCTAGTTCCATTGTGTTCCAATTTTGCCGAGGCACGTGAATGCGACTTTCATCCTCTTTTTTGAGTCGCAAGACAGCGGAGTCATTCACTAATTTCAAAATCATTTCAATGACTAAAGTTGCGTTTGTGTACTTAAAAAAAAATTAAAACTTCTCGTTCAGTAATTGTCCGAAATTTTTAGAGAAATATACAACTAGCACTGAATGCGTGTATTATGGGAAAAAGAAAAAAAGAAAACGTACAAAATATTAGTATAGTGCTATAATATTTGCCAATTAAAATAATTTTCTACTGAAGTCCTGCTTTTTAAATTACATTCGTTTAATCAACAAAACGTTGATTTAAATTAAACATCGTTTCTTATTTTATTATATTCCATCAGTATCGTCTTCTTAGTGAAATCTTGTACCTTATATTTTATTATTACTTTAGTTAAATTATTTCGCGATTATGAAAAACGTGTAAAACGTATTAAATATGTAATAATAATCACGTAGAATATTTCAGTAATACAAAAAGCATCTGCTACCATTAAATATTCTGTCCGGATGTTTTAATTAATATCCAATTTCTAATGAATATTAACGTATATAATATCGAAGTTCTACGATAAGTATTTTGTACAATGAGGATTACATAAGTGAAACTCTACGGTATCAAATTATTATTATTATTATTATTTGTTTTATTTATTTTAGGACTATTTTATTTATTTGTTTTATTTATTTTATTAATTACAATTAATAGCACAATAATGATAATTTTACTGTATAAAATTGCTAAAATGACTGTTTGTTTATCAATTCTATAGAGTCGAAATTTTCAGCAAGGAAGAATCTAATATTTTTCAACTGCTTACAGTGGTCTCCCTTCTAAACTACCGAACTGATCAAAATAGCCAATCCATAATTTTTGTTCGCTATTTCATAAATCTAAAACGTATTTCTAGGGACTTAAATGACTTTTCGTAACACTTTGTGTATTATAAAGTTTTCAATTTCTTTATTTTTCTTTTTTTTTTATTTCAATGTCTCTGATGGAAACTTTATGACCGACAGAGAGTGCTAGAGCGAACACTCGACGTGCAATTATTTTGAAAAGTCGACAGAAGTGAAACCTCCTGCTGAGCTGAATGAAATCGAAGGAATTCTTCTTCGGACGTTCCCCTCCCGGATTAGGG